TAGATTCATTCGATTTTGCTCATCCTATAGATAGAAGTAGCATGAGGTCAGCTCCAAGGTTGTAGACTTGTCTGTTCAAAAGATCAATGGTACCGGTAGGGGCATTTCAGAAATTTTCCAACGGCTATCAGGTAGGGGCATGCTGCAAATTTGTGGTTACCAGTAGGGGCACTACGAAAATAGATGAGGCCCAAACGACACCAAGGTTTTATGAAAATTTTGACTCGTGGTAAGAGGGGCACGATAGGGTAAATCGGTTATCGGAGGGGCGCACAAAATAATGGAAAATACAGCAGCGCCATTTTTTTTTTTTTTTTAATTCTTTTTTTTGAAAATCACATCAAACTCTACAAACGATCCAATTTATTTATTTTTTTTCACGAATCTGATTGTGAAAAATCACTGAAGTTTGAGTATTTTTTTCGTTAGCCCATATATGGCTTAGTGGCAAAAATGAAAAAGTGTCGAATCAGCACGATAATTATTTCACTATTTTAAAGATTTTTTGAAAATTTTATAATATTTTTCTTGAAAAAAACACGACCTAATCTTTGGGTTCTCATGTTTTTTGCAAATTCCTCTAAGTAAAAAAACTCGTCAAAGTTGTCTCTTGCAAACTACAGGATTGGACCCGTCGGTACTCTCCGCCTTGGACAGCCTGCGTGTGACGACTCCCGACCACGCCTTTTTGGAGTTCGCTTCTACCCAACGACTAGTCATTCTCTTTTTCAAAAGTCCCAGTTCTACAAGAGTTAGTTGTAGATCGTCCGCAATATCGCAAAGGACCAGTCCCTCCAAAACTTTTGCCCTCAAAGAACCCACTTGTGTCCTGGTCACCCACCGCAGAAAATGCGACACCTTAACATAGACGCCGGATCCCACCATACCGTTGTCGAGCGCATCGGCCCCCGCCTTTTTTGCAAAGGCGAGAGCGCTCCCGGCCAAGTCACGCAGGAGTTTAAACCACCACTACCTCGCTCAGCTATCGGCTGCGGGCCTTCCCGTATATGCGCCGCAGCCTTAGGGAGGTCGGCCAAGGGAAGGCCCGGTCGCTCCTTCTTGGCCGGAGCCCGGCAACTACGGGGTGTTACTCACGAAAAATAAATAAACATAAACACAATAAAAAAAACGAAATAAAAGAAGATAGGCTAGGGGCGGAGAGAGAGAGAGAGAGAGAGAGAGAGAGAGAGAGAGAGAGAGAGAGAGAGAGAGAGAGAGAGAGAGAGAGAGATTCGGAAAACAGAAAGGGACTCAATCTTCCCGCTTTCGCGGGAAGATTCGTTTCTCGAAAAGAAAGAGAGAGAGAGAGAGAGAAAGAGAGCAGTTCGGGAAACAGAAAGGGAATGAATCTTCCCGCTTTTGCG